CATTTTTTAAAAAGATACATACACATGTACGCTGAAGTTTTGAAAGAACACATAGGAATAGGAATTACCTCTAAGGAGGAATGGAGGGCAAAGTAAAGGAAGAGACTGTTGTTTTTTTACTTTGTACACATCTGAGGTTTTGATATGGTTGTGATGGTGGACATTTTGTTGTTTTTTGCATTGTTTTCAACAGATGTGCTACTTTTGTAATTTTTAGCAACCATTTTGTTTCTTAATCATTTTGAGCCTATTTTGTTTCTTTGTAAACTTTGAACAACCAGTTTGTTTATTAATTATTTTATTTGTTTATTGCTTCATAGAATGTTTTTGATTCAATGAAGATACCACACTGATTTTTCAGAGAAAAAGCTTCTGAGTCTTAAATTACAGTGAACTGTAAGAAGAATTGAAAAAACTGGCATAGAGCATGCATTAGTTGTGTGGTAAGTCTGGTGACAAATTGTATGTGTGGTGATAATCAGTGATAATCAGAGTGATAATCAGAGCTTTAGTTAATGGACATATTCATACATGTTAATAATAGTATGTAGAAACCTTGTTCATTATTACAGGAAGGGAGCTAACATTTGCGAAGAGCTTACTACATACCATACATTTTATACATGCCATCTACTTCAGTACTTCAAGTAAATATTAATTTTATTTGAAAGTGAAAGAAACCAAGGCCCAAAGAACCTAAGTATTAATTAATCAGGACAAAAACACAATATTGTAAGATAAAAATAGTTTACCATTTGGTATACAGAGAAATCAGTGACAGCACCATCACTTAAAAGTAGATAATCAGATTGATAATCTAATGTCAGACTGTAGGTCTCCTAGATAAGTCTTGGTGTCAGGAGGGTGGGAGAGGGCAGGATTTATAACTCCCTAGTTATAGGAGAATATAAGAGTTTGGTTTAGAAATGAGCTGTAGAAACCAGATCTCCAGTTGCTAATCCTATGCAGTCTCTCTCTTTCTTAACCTGAAATTGAAGTTGATGTTTTTGGTTTACCAGTTTCAAGATAGTTTTTGTCTAAAATGTTATATATTGGAATAATTAATATTTAATTATCTTCCTTCATGAACTATGGAGTTCCCTATTGAGAGTTTTTGTAGTAGCCAAGCAAACCTTTCAATAAAGCTTTTGTTCTCTTTGTTAATCTTGCAATAGTTTGGAAGGTTTTTAGACTTTTTCTTTGAATCCATTCAATATTTACTAAATTTCTCTTCTTTTTTATATTTGGAAGAAAAAAAAATGGTATTTCTCAGAATATTGGGATTAGTTCTTGAGGATGAGAGAGATTATGTTTGACCTATTTAGAGTATTATGGATGACTGAGGACACTTGAACTTTTTCCCATTTAGGAAATAAGTGCTTTGGAAAATATAAAAAATGAGAATTTTCAATGTCAGCAATAGAAAAAAATTCAGTTTATAGAACTCTATTTTAATATTTATGAAACCCATGAAAACTTGAGCAGCTGTATGTCCAAAATTATAGAAAATATGCTGCCTTAATTTTAAAAATGGACTGAAATTTTGCCAGGATAAAGGGACTTTTCTTAAGATAAGCTTTTTGCTTTATTTATGATAGTCAAGAGAGTGTATGGAGAACCATTTTTAGTAAATTCAAGGTGTGTGCTATATTTGATCACCATTGTTACAAGTTTTGCTTTTGAACACTGAGAAAGAATATAAAGTATATTCTGGCACAAGCACCTCAGTACCTGTTTACCTCTTTAGATGCTGGTAGACCACTTGTTTTGCTAGTCTTTGGAATTGGAAGGAGTGTCAGATACACAGAAGCCAGAGTCATCTTGGCCAGATGGTGTTTGATACAGATGGATGGTTAGTTGTCATGCAGATCTCCTAGTTGGTAACTTGTTGCTGCCATCTGACTCAAAGAATCATTCACACACACTGGCTGTCAAAAGCATCTTCTCTTCTGTCTGTTTTAGCTGTCATGTCTGTGCTCTGTACAGAAGTGTTGACAAGACATTGCTGTTGTACATTTTCAATGTGGTTGTTAGTAATTTTTCTGTTTTGTAGGGTCTTTGGTAGTGCTGGAATGTACTTGCTTTGTAATTGTACTGATTTTTGTGTGTGTAAATACTATGACAGTGCAACAATTATCTGACCTTTTAAAAGGAATTTTCAGATAATAAGTTTATATACATCTGTTCAGTGAACAAAAAGCATTTAATAAAAGGAAGAAAAGCCTCTTGTTTCTGTTAGTTTCCAAACACAGCAAGTAAACTCAGTTCTGCTGGTTATTTCCCAATTTGATACCATATCCTCTTCTGGACTTTCCCTCTCATGGCTTTGTGGTCAGTCTTTATACTGTTTCTAAATATTTTCTCTTCTCAAATTAGTAATTTTTTTTCTGACAGTATAAGCTTCCCTTTTTTTCCAAAAAAAGGAAAAATGAAAAAATCTTCAGACATAGCCATTTTTTTTGCCTCTATCTTCTGAAACTTAATTTTCTTTTGTCTTATTTACTTACTGGCTTACTATCTCTATTTTTCCTATTTTTCTTCAAAAATGTAAGCAAAACCTTATCTCCATTCCTTCAGGTTAACTTCTGAAGACATATCTATTTCTCTTATATTTTCTTAACTTAATTAGATTATTTATTTGACTAATATTTATTGAGCATTTCAGTATGTGCCAGGTACTCTGGAGATATCAGAAGAGAATAGTCTCTGTCCCTGAGGAGATCATAGTCTGAAGAGAAATCATACATATAAACAATTAGGCTAGACTAATAATTGATATAATGAAAGTGTGTGGAAAGAACTTAAAAGAACATGGGTTATTGCTATTCTGTTTCTCCTGCTATACTTCCAGAGTATCAGTTTTTTATTATTACAGAATTTGCTTAAGTTTATGAAGTACTTTGTTAAGTGGTTTACTAAATAGTGGAAAACTTCAACTTGAAATTGTTGATCTCTTGATTTTTTTTACCTGCTAATGAGAACATTTTCAGCATTTTTCATTTATTATAATATGTTATATGGAGATGTGCTAAAGTATGTTTTTAAGCCAGAAAATAGAAGATGAAAATTACCTGGCAGAGGCTTTCTGAGTTGCTTCCAAAAGAAAACACAGGTCATTTGTTTTTTCATTAAGGTTGGGAAAAAAATATGCAGTAGATAGAGAATGGGCTGAGGTTTGAATAACTTACACATTTACTCTGTGTGTCTTTAACTTAGTAAGTTTTTTGTACTGGTCATTTAATGCTTGATAGTAAAATATATATACCTATCGAAAAATAGTGAAAGAATGGATAATTTTTGGTTCATGTTTATGAAAAGTTTGGAGTTTTTTAGAGGAAGTTCTAAATACACAAAAGTAGATAGAACAAACCATAATATCAGGCATGTTTGCTGATTCCTCAGCCCTGGTAGCTCTGTGTAGACAAGGCAAATTTAAAGTATTACAGAATTAGCATTAGAGGTTTAAACCCTTCTTATAGTCAACCCACCCACTCTTTCTAGGGGCTTGGATGCAAATTTATGTATGAATAAGTCTTGTTCTGGGAAGCCTGGCCCTAGGCTGGAATTTGGTATCCAAGGTTCTATTATCACACTCCTACTCATAGGATGTATGGTTCAGACAGATTCAAAAGATTCATTCTTTTACTTAAAATAATAAAATTTACTTGAATTTTATTTTAATTGGATTCTTTTTTTTTTTTCCAATAAGCTTGTACTGAATATGTCCTATGTATAAGTTACTTTGCATAGAAATATCAAGTTACATGAAGCTACCCTCAGGCAGCATTCAAGACAAAACACCACTTGGATTACTTACCAGCTTTGTCAGTTACTCATGTTTAAAATATAATACAAAATTCCACCTTTTATTTGGGAACATGTGCTATTTTGCTTTCATTTCTTAAGCTAATTTCTTTTGGGACTCTAGAAACAGCTGTGTCATTTATAAAATACTTAATATTTGTGGATCTCTGAAAATACTAGAGCTTCACTAATTTTGACCATTGATTAAGAATCAATTCAAAATCAAATATTTAGTATCTATTGAAGGACATTCCAAGATTATTAGAACCCCATTTCATATTTCAAGGAGTTTACAATTTAGTCATTTATATGTTCTAGTGATAGATATTGGTAAAGAATTCTCTATTATTTTTTGGTTATATGTTTTTCAGACTTTGTGCTAATTTGATCATCATAATGGAGTGTTCTCAAATATCAGGTTTGCAACATTTATATGCTGCAATGCGAACTTGTGTATTCTTTCACTGCTCCCATCCAAGTACTAACTAGGCCTGACCCTGCTTAGCATCCAAGATCAGACCAGATCCGGCATTCAGGGTGGTATGGCCATAGACTTTCATTGCTTAATTCTCACAGCCATTGCAATAGTAGTAAAGTGACTGGATTAAAAATATAAGGGAAATTGTGGTATTTAAGATGTCCATTAGAAATTAACCATGTGGTTTCTTGACTTCTTAAATCCTAATCTTGGAATTTCTGATCAGTGTAATTTCATAATTTGTGCTTGTACCTTTGATTTTCATAGTGTTTTAGCTGTAACTACTTTGTGTTTTTCTACTCTAAAAATAAATTCAAAAGTGCATTTAAGAACATGACATCTTAATTTTTTAAGGTTAGTATTTTTATAGAAAAACTTTAACATAGCATCCATTTTTTCATTCATGCTTTTTTGTTATCATTACAGATTAAATTCTAAATTACAACTTTTATCCAAGAAACTGTACATTGAGCTCTTAACTGAAATTTCTCCTAAGGCTTCTCTAAAATTTTACAGTGCTTAAAGTGTTTTAAATCACTTTTGTTTGTAACAATTATAAGTACATGATTGAATCCTGTTTTCAGCTCGTAAATAAATGCCCCTGTACCTGGGAAATGGCAATATGGGTAACTCACACCTATATGTAATTACTAACGGACATTAATGTATACACATGTCTGTCAGTAGATGCCAGGCTAACTGGTTTTCATGTCAGCAGACTGAGAACTATGAGCAGAGAATACGTGAGCAACAGGAACAGCTGTCACGTCAGCAAACGCTCATTGACAAACTCAAGTCACAGTTACTTCTGGTGAATTCCAGTCGAGGTATGTTCACGTTAAATTTTTAAGTATTTCTTAAACCTCTGTGGAAAAGAAAGATGGAAGTTAAGTTTTTCTGTTCTATTTCACCTGTGTTTCTCAGTATTTCTGGTATCTTAATAACTGTGGTGCAGTTAAGTTTTATGTTTATTTAAGAAATGAACACTTGAAGGAAATGGGAAAGTGGACAGCCACATGTACTATATGGTGGCACTCTTAAGTTGGTAAAATTTCCTAGAAGACAATTTTTCAGTAAATAGCAAAAGCTTTTTAAATGTGTGTGCCTTTTAAACCAAAAATTTGAGTCCTAAGAATGTATCATAAAAATATATTTCTTCAGGTACTCAAGGTATATATTACAAAGATGCTCATCACAGTAGTAATTTCTAATAATGGAATGTTCAACCATTAAATTATAGTCATTCATGTAGGAAACAGCTATGTAGCCAAGTAAAGTGATAATAATAGGTGTTCACTTAGAAACATGAGACATATTCATGATATACAGCAAAATGAGAAAAGCAAGATAAAAAACATGTAATTTTATCTATGCAAAAAAGTTGTTTCTTGTGAATTTATTTGTATTGAGAAAGAAAAATTCTGGTAAAATATAAACCAAAATGTTACTAGGAATCATTCACAGATGATAAAAACTGTGAGTAGCTTTTTATTTATACTTTTCAGCATATCTGCATTTTCTGATTTTTTTATAATAAGCATAGAGTCATTATACAAGTAAGTAAACAGCAAATGCATACCTGAATATATTTCTTAAATAAAAATTTAATTGTGGTTGCTGATGATAAGATACAAACAGCATAATTTTAGTTTTGTAAATTCTGTGTATTCTGTATACTACTAATACAGGAAGTCTAGGAATTTTGTGTGTTTATTGGGAATGAAAATTTAAAAATATGAATCAAATATGCCAAAATCTAAGTGGACAAACCTAAATTATTAAACTGTTATCTAAAGAATTTTTAAAACCCATAGTTTAAAATCTCTGCTCTTTAAAATTAGGGGTTTGGGTGTATATTCTTTTTACTTTTCTAAGTGGTACCCAAAACAAGGATTTCCCGCTTAGGTCCAAGAGGTTTTTGTCTTACAGATAACAGTTGTGGCTATGTTCCCCTGCTTGAAGACAGTGAAGCAAGGAAGAATAATTTGACTCTTGATCAGCCTCATGATAAAGCAAAATCAGGAATACCAAGAGAAAAAGAATCAAAGGTAGACTGCACTGCCATTTTATTCCCTAAAGGAAATAAATGAAAAATCAGACTTTCTGAATTATTTAGTCAGTATTCTGTTACATTTGGGGTGGGCAGGAAAGTTGGAGAAAGTGGACAAGATTCTTTTCAACCCTAACACTTTTACTGCAAGAAGTAGAATTTAAATGCTAGTATATAACAACATCTTCCTCATTTTGTTTACTTAAAGTGAATCCACCACTGGAATTCTAAACAGAAGTTCTTCATATACAAGCAAGTAACTTACATGTTCCTAAATATACTTGAAGCACTATTTCCAAGTAAAATAAAGGCTTAAATTTCTTATTTTCTAGTATTCATTTTTCTATATCACAGGTGTTTACCAAAGAGATAAAAGATTTAACAAAGAAAGATAAAAATAATATAGTAAGACACAGATGATTCTGGGCTAGAAAATAGCACTTTTGTTTTTTCATTTGCCTGTGTTTAATTAAAAAACAAAATCCACCTAACTAGCTGAAGCAAAAGTCTTCATTGAAGCAGTGTAAAAGTGAATATTACATATCTGTGGAGGAGACATGCGCAAGGATGTTCATGGCACTTTGGTTAGAAATAACCTAAACATCCATCAGTAGCACAGTGGTACATCATTACAGTTAAACATTTTAGAAAAATTAAACTGAATATTTACTTACTACTATACCTGGATTTCAAAAGCAGTGTTGAATGGAGATTACAAAGTGATAAAATAGGAATAATTTATTTAGATTTTCTTTAAATATAAAGCATGACATCATTTATGAAAATATAAATGCATAATAAAAGTAGAAAAATACATGCAGGTAGGGTACATATTTTCTTTAGAAAAAGAAAGATGGGGAGAACTAAAACTATCTTGTTTTTATTTAACATCAAATTGAGAAATCCTGTTTGATACTTCCCTATAAATAAAAATTTTAGAGTGAAAAATTTCCTACAGTATCTCTCAGTTCATAGTTCTTTATTAAGAATCAGTATTGGTTTTTTTATTTGAATCATTTAGCTCTCTTCGCCCTCACTCCAATTTCCATTTATCTAAAACTGCTAGTAAACACAAGAAACCATGCCACTGGAATATGTTTTTAGATTTATTTTGCCAAACACAAAATTCAGAAACAGTGATTCTGACTTTTAGAATACAGTTTTGTCATAGAGCCTAGTAAGTACATTTTAAAATCATTAAACTACTATAAAATGCTGACTTATAAAGATAGTGCTTAAGCAAGTAATATTTGCAGACCATTTTCTTGTTTCAGGGACTTCTAAATGTCATGATTTACCATTAATTTTTAGTCACAATTCTTATATTTATTCTAATTATATCTTTGAAGATAATAAAATATCTCCAGTTCAAAATATATAGAAGGTATTTTTGAAAATAGCAATCTTGATTAGAACAAAAGGGGTAATGTGAAAATCTCTAAGATGTGTTGCTAATTTAGTTAATTTTGAATTTGGATAATTTGTCATTATTTGAAAGTTTTATTAGCATCTGTCAGTTATGAACACTTGAGCTGAAATTAAATGTAACAGGAATCATGTCAAAGGTAGCTTATTATCAAAAAATTAATAATGTTGCATTGATTATATTTGTAGATGATAAGAGGAAAATATATAAAGCTCCAAATAAGAAATAAATCGAAAATTCATTGAGTTCTCTTAATTCTCCTTACTATATTTGACAACTCTATATTTAATTTGAGTAATTGAGCACACACATACATTAAAAATGGGCTTCCCAGGTGGCACAGTGGTAAAGAATCCATCTACCAATGCAAGAGATGCAAGCAATGCAGATTCAATCCCTGTGTTGGGAACATCCCCTGGAGTAGGAAATGGCAACCCACTCCAGTATTTTTGCCTGAAGAATTCCATAGACAAAGGAGCCTGGCAGGCTACGGTCCATGGGGTCACAAAGAGTCAGACACTACTGAGTGACTGAGCACATACAGGTATTTAATACTTTGAGTAGCTCATCAACTCAGTCTTTTTGTATTATAATAAAAAATTAATGATTTTACATTTCAGTTTTCTCATCTCCTTTTATATGTGAGTGAAGTCGCTCAGTCGTGTCTAACTCTTTGCGACCCCATGGACTGTAGCCTGCCAGCTCCTCTGTCCATGGGATTTTCCAGGCAAGAATACTGGAGTGGATTGCCATTTCCTTCTCCAGGGGATCTTCCCAGCCCAGGGATTGAACCCAGGTCTCCCGCATTTTGGTCTGAGCCACCAGGGAAGCCCTTTTATATATCTAGAGCCAAAGTGCTAATAAGCACTAAACATATAAAGGATTAAAGAGAACAGATATATTCTAAAGGAATGAATAAGTTGGATTTATTGAGTATTTAAGAGCTAGATATATATTCATTGTAAAACCTTAGACCTAATTTAGAAAAATACTGGCCAATTGAAAGTAAAATCTTTCCCATTGGCATATATGTTGGTCTATGCTTATTAAGTTATAACTAAATACACTTTTAGCTAATACAAGTGAAATTATTTCATAAAAACTTTAAATGGTATGGATACATTTAAGATTTTTCCAAAATGAAAAAATTCCATATTGGTTGCTTGCAGTTTTAAAAAAGTATGCATGTATACACAAAATAAAACCTATCAGGTAGTATTCAGAAATGGCTAAGATAGTGGTACAATTTTTTTCCTGTTTTCAATGTGACTTTATGTTTATTAGCCTTCTCAAAAATGAATTAATTTTGTTTTTTTTTAATTGAAATATAGTTGATTTACAGTGTTGTGTTAGTTTCTACTGTACAGCAAAGTTACTCAGTTATACATATACTGTAAACATTCTTTTCTGTATGTTCTTTTCCATTATGGTTTATCATCCTGAATATAGTCCTCTGTGTTATAAAAAACTCCAATTGATTTCATTCCCAATCATTTGGCCAAGTCTCTAATGAATTAGTGACTTAACAGAAATGTTTTGAACCAGTAACAGAAGGAAGCTGCTACTAACCACTCACAGCGCTTTCCTCCTTCTATTTGGTGGGAAGTTTTGAGGAATATTTATCTTGTTTAGGACTTGATTACGGTATTTAAAAAGGGAAAGATCCCTGGACACTACAGTAAATGTCAACAATGGCTGCCTTGGAAAACGAGATACAGAGTGGAGGGGAAAGAGACCCTTTTAGAAGATTGTATTTGAGAAATAGGAAATTTGTAGTTCAGCCTCTGTTTATGGTAATCCTACACAAGGAGCCTGACGGTCACAAGTCCATGGGGTCACAAAAAATTGGACAGGACTGAGGGACTAACAATTCCACTTTTTTTACACAAAGCACATGCAAGAATCCTTTGATTTCTAAAAGGATATAGAGTCAAGATAGCAGAACCTGTATCATTGAATGACCCTTAGTATTCTGTTTACAGTTTAGAGACATTAGGGGAGACGTCCTCAGTTTAAAAGAAAACCTGAGTTTCACTTCTTGTTCACCACAGTAGTTTGTACAGTGTTTCTTGATGAGATAGAATTCATTATATTATCTATCATATAACAAACCACCTCAGATTTACCCTAGTACTTAGCAACAACTATCACGTCCTGTGAATCAGAAATTCAGGAGTGACTTAGCTGGGTGGTACTGGTTCAGGATCCTGTGTTATCAAAGTCAAGATGTGGCCAAGGCCTTCCAATCATCTCAAGGCTTTACTGTGGTTGGAGAATCCACTTTCAAGATGGCTTACTCCAAGATGGCTGTTGACAAGAGACCTGGCCACACAGGCCTCTCATCACACTAACAGGTATCTTACTTAGACTAAGAAAGAAAGAGATACAAGATAGCAAGGAGGAGCCCATAGTGCTTTCTAAAATCTAGTCTCTAAAATCACACCTTTGCTTCAGCTTTATTCTGCTTATTAGAAGTGAATCACTAAGTGCTCCAGAGATAAGAAAATAAGTTCTTCCTCTTGGAAAAAAGAAGATTATCGAAGTTTTTGTAGACCTACTGTATTTAAAAGTATCACAGGGATTGTAGATTGTGGTGTACAGAAGAGGGTACCAAAAAATCAAGGGTATGTGGGGGGACAGCACAGTGCTTCACTTATCACTTATCACTTCATGTGATAAATATGAATGAAAGATAAGGAATCTGGCAGAATTTAATAATGAATTTGACTTCCTGAATCCTATTATTATTCATCTCAGAGGAAAGAAATATCATAGCTTATTTATCTTGAGAGTAGTTTCAAAAATTCTAATATGAATATAGACTTTCCAGGGGAGATTAGCTGAGCAGTGCTTTAGAGAATCAAGAAACTTGCATGTTATTACTGTGAAAATTAAAAATTGTAAACAATCAAATCATTCAAAAATACATAAACTTGTTCTTGGCAAAGACTACACTCTTGTTTGCAGGACACCATTGTCAGACATAGTAACATATGTCATGATGGCAGTTATTACTTAGCAAATTTTGTATTTTAATGTAAATACAAATTGGCATTGTTTAATTTACTTTTGTAAAAAAGCTAGGATTGTAATATGTTGGGGGGTTTTTCTGGCTGCGCCACATGGCTTGTGGGATCTTAGTTCCCTGACCAAGACTCAAACCCAGGCCGAGTGCAGTGGAAACACAGAGTCCTAATCACTGGACTGCCAGAAAAATCCCATGGGTCATTTTTATGATCTTGAAAATGAAACTTTCTATAATAGTGCTTTAGGAAACACTTCAGTTGTCAAACTGAATGCTATCCGAGGTGTATAGGGTGTGACAAAAAATGTTGGCATCTTTCTTTTCCATTTGTGTGTCTGTAAGTTATACAGAAGTCTAGAGTGTTTTGACACAATATATAAAGAGCAATAATGTAAAATACATAAAAGAATTTAGCAATATTAGTAAATTTTTTCACTCATTCATTCAATACCTCTAAACTGCCCTCTGACTTAAAGTCCTGATTTAATAACCAAATAGACATTATTGAATGGTCTAGGATCCAGGATACAAAGTAGATATTGTATGA